CAACAGTCCTCGTCCTAGCCTCTTCGTCCTCTTCCACCTGGGGCAGCAAATTGTTCCGAGGTGCCAGCACGGCATCACCAACAGGTCCCTGGCTGCCTCCCCATCCCCGGCATGGTCATCAGTGCCTTCACAGCCCTCTCCTCTTCCTCCTTTCCCACATGCTGCCCGCAGGAGCTGGCTTAACCAGCAGCATCCCCGGTACGGAGGGGGCTGCGGGAGGAGCAGGGCTGGGGGCAGCTAGCCATGCCGGTGGCAAAAAGCCCTCAGTGAAGGCAAGGAGGAGGTAACTTCTCTAGGTCAGAATAATTTAACATTTCTCTTCTCACCCGTGGGCAGGTTGAGTTTTCTAGCAAGGCTGCTGAAGCAAGCCAGGCGCCTGAGCCCAGCAGACTCCTTAGCTGCCTGTAAAGTTGTCAGAGTTTCACCTGCTGCATCAACAGCCACCCGCGCCGGAGTGCAGCGTGGTCCCAGGGAAGGATGAGGCCAGCCCCAGCACAAGCAAACCCAGCGGAAATTTCCACTGGTGACAGATGCACAAGCCAGTACAAGAGAAGGATGGAAGGAGAGGAGCCCAAACCTCTGCGGCAGCGCCTGGAGCGAGGAGGCATTTCTGCCCCTCCTGCCTCACCCCCTGCCTCCCTCGCCTCCCCTCCCTGTGGGACATCCCCGCATCGCTCCACTGGGACAGGGCACGAGGGCAGGAGAGCAAGATCCATCCCCACTCCTGGAGCAGGGAGAAGGCCATGAAGGCAGGAGGTGACAGTGCTGCTGCCCAGCACCCATGGGCCACGCCACTGTGCAGAGAGCCCAAAGAGGAGGAGTGGAGGGGAAAAAGATTTCCCCAGCAGGTGAAGGGTTGTCCCCCACCCGAGTCTCCAGCCTGTGGTGCCATCCCCTGTCTGGCACTACTGCTTCAAGTGCTGGGAAGTCAAAACAGAGAGCAGTCTGCTGCACACACACACACACATACACACGTGTGCATGCATGCACACACGTCCTGGCACACGCACCGCATCCAGGATCCCCGCGTCCAGACCGGTGCCACTGCTTTTGCCTCCCCAGAGCCACTAAAACCTCTGCAAAAATCCCCATCCCTGTGCCAGGGAACAGGAGTTATTTGCCCTCAATGCACTCTAACACAGGCACCCCCCATAAAAATGTCCCAGCCTCACAGATTTCCCCTGACACAGGCACATCCCAGCAGGGCAGCCCTGCAGAAGGGTCTTGCTGCTCCTCCAGCTGCGGGGCATTTGTGGCGTGGGCCAGGGACCGGTTGCCGATACTCTGGGGCTCGTTCCAGAGTGTTGTTAGAGCCAGCCCGGTCAGGTCCACACCAGATGGTGATTTCAGCACTTTTGTGGCCCTGCTGCCTCATCTCCCACCTCTCACTCTTCCTGTGACCCAGGGCTGCCCCGACAGTGGGTGTTCAACCCTGGGGCACCCACAAATTACAGGATACCCGCAGGATCCTGGGCCACGGCAGTCCCAGACTCCCCCCCACCTTGGCCCTTACCTGAAGGAGGAGGAGGATGACACAGGGGCTGCAGACTCGGCTCAGCACCCGCTGGGTCCCTGCCCTCCGCAAAGCCCTCTGCCCTGGGGGTGGGTTTCCCTGCCCCTCAGGCTGGGGGGCTGCGGTACCCAGGGGGGATGAGCAGTGCTTCCCCGCCTCTCCCTGCTGCAGGCTCCCTCTCTGGCACTGGCTCCTTCACCGCCCTCGCTCCATCCCTCACTCCCTGTGCCAGCAGCAGAGCTGCTCCAAGCCCAGCCTCATTAAAGAGACACACTCCCTGGTACCGCCGCCCCGGGGAGGGCTGGGGGATGCTCTTGTGGGTGGTGCTGGGGGTCTCAGGGGATGGCCAACACCCCCAGAGGGTGACAGGCACCCGCCAAGAGCAGATCCCACCACTGTGGGTTGCTCTGCACCCACAGCGTGCCGATATCCAGACAAATTCGGGTGCTGGTGAGACCCCAGGGTGATGTTGTTGGCACCCACAAACACCCGGTTGGGCTGCCCGGGACACAGAGCCACACCCATGTGTCCCCCACAAACAAAGCATGGGGCAAAAAACAAGCCCCCATCAGCTGGCTGAACTGTCTGCTACAAATACATAGGCCACAAGCATCACAACCAGCTTCTTGGAAAAGCTCTCAACTGCCCTGGGACCGCCGCAAGAGGACTGAGCACATGCAGATGCTGAGCATCCACCCCAAATCCAGATGCCCTGGGGTCCCACCGGAGCTGCCCTCCTCAATCTCCATGTGCTGCAGTGAAATCCCAGCCCCAAAGAGCAGGAAAAGGAGGGGATTTGGGGACAGCACAGCCTTTGGGTGACGAGTGTGACAACAAAACCCCTTGGGGAGGGTGCAGACGGTCAGGAAATCCCAGCAAAGCCAGGACACGTCTACTGGCAGGGAGATCTCACTGCCTGGGGCGCGCTGAGAATCCCTCAGCAGCCTCTGCCGTCCCGGCATTCCCAACTGGGACTGGAGAAAACCATCAAATTTGGGACTAATTTCTGCCCTGCCTCTCCCAGGCAGCTCCCTCGCTGTGCTATAGATAGGGCTGTGCTACCACGGCTCTTTTTATAGAACACACAGAGGGGAGCCACCCCCCTCCCCTGCACCGCAAAACCCACCATCGCGGCCACGCCGAACCCGGAGCCAGCTCAGCCACGCAGACACACACCGGGGCAGAAAGAGCAGGCAGCGCCAGCATGGGGAGCGGTCCCCAGTCCTTGGCAGGTGATTTTGGGGCAGCACCGGAGGGAGGAGGCCTGGCAGAGCAGCATCTCCCCGCTGGATCTCACCTCTAAGCTGACCCACGTGCCGCTATGGCTTCAGTTCCTCGGCATGGGCTTCACAGGTGACGGCAGGAGCAAAAGGAGGAAAATCTCAGTGGAAGACGCCCTTTGCTGCACACGGTAGCATGGGGCACGCTCCCTCCTCCCAACCGCTTACCCTGCGCTTCAGCCAACACAATTATCTGGCAGAGAGGCACTCTGCGTGTCCCTGGGGTGCTTGCAAAAGCACTCTGAGCCATTCCTTCTCCCCATGCGAGATGCCCCACGGCATGCCACTTCCCTCCTTGTGCTGCAACAGGGAGAGAGGAGAGCTAAAGTGTGCAGCTGCTCTCCTTCCCTGTCATTTATGACTGCAGAAGAAGGATGCTAACCCATATATTACCCCCCCAACATGACAGACGCCAGCCCTGCGAGCCGCTGGAGGCACAGCGCACACCGCGGCGCATCCACGCAGCCTGCGGCGTGCACGGGGCTCTCATTCCCATCGTCACAGCAAGCACTGCAGCCGCTCCAGCCCTAGAAAAAAAAAAAAAAAACCCAAAAAAAAAAAAACCAACCCAAAACCGCAAGCTTTGATTTTTTTCTGAGATACTGTTTCTAGGCCAAGCTGAGGTGAAGAAAAGCATCCAAATGGGAGTGCCGGGTCGGTGCCACCAGCTGGGGTGATGGGGCTCGGCCAGCCCACAGCATCAGGCACCGTCTGTGGCCCCGGCGTTACAGCAGGCGAATAACCACAGTGTGCACAGCACTGGGGGCGGGGGGCACAGCTGAGCTTCCCCCAGCCTGCTGGCAATCCGCAGCAGCCCCGGGGAAAGGCAGACGGGGCTTCATCCTGCTCCATACAGCGCTTACACCAGCATCAGACAACAGACATGCGTGTCCCCACTCTGTGCTGTCACAGCTTCCCTACAGCAGCTCGTCACAGCCACAAATAGACCCTCAGAGAGCTCAGCATTGCTTTTCAGCTGAGCTAAGGCATTAAACCCTACAAACACAGGCCTGGCTCAGCCCAACAGCTTCATTCAGCACCCTGGCACCCCAGCAACCCCACAGAGCACTCATCAGCAGCTGTTGTACTGCCTGAGGGACCGGTTGTGATTGGGGTATTTACCCCCAAATCTGGTGCGTTACCTTGCTCTGGGTTTACTGAGCTGAATTGTCACCCAGAGATAGGGCTGGCTAGAGCACAAACCACAAAGCTCTTCAAGATACTCTCAGGTCCTGAGTTACTGATAAGCCCTGTGAATTTAATGCTATGGGAAGAAATAACCTGAAAGCTAAGGAGATACCAGCCAGTGTCAGGCTGGCAGCAACTGCTCAATGCAGCTGTGGGTGCTCAGACCCAGCTGAGGGCTGCAGAGGCTCTGCCGGCAGAGAGAGGGGCAGGCAGGGGTGTCCTGTTTAGCTGTCTGCTGCTCGGTAATCAGCACAAATTAAAGGAGATCCTGAGGAGGAGTAGCCATGGGGAAGGATGGGGATGGCGGTGTTGTATCTGATCAAAAATCAGGTGCACCTTGGTTTAACCTGTGCAATAT